CATCCAACATCTTCGTCTACGGGGGAGGTCTCTACAGCTTCTTCCAGGTAAACGTCGTTCTCTGAAAATTTACTGCAACTATATTCATTTGTTCGCATGCCAGACATATTCACAAGTAAGTTTTTCCCACCACGCAGCAGGGTCTGTCGTAACATGAAATTAGGCATGTGTCCCCAGTCGCAACTGTCAAGACTCCATGGTTCTCGTCGACCGAAAATCTGCATCGCTCTTCCTCTATCAAATAACGACCGCGGGAAGCACAAACATGATCTCCTACGCCAATGCTTCCATCGCGAAGCAGGCCGACAACATCAACGGCTTCGCCAGCACTTTGACTTTCTGGGAAGCGCCACTGACGGTTCCTCAAGGCACTTGTGGCATCGCGACCCGGCAGATTGATCCTTACGATGATAGTGACATCGCGGCCCGGCAGTTTAACCCGAAGTTTCCACCTCAGAACTATGATTACTTCACTTCTAACCCCAGCAGAATCGACGTCGAGCTCATGGTGGGAGCTCTGGACGAAGGAACCGGCCTCCGCGCTCGGCGGCAGAACTGCGTCTTCTACGTCAACCAGCAAGAAATGGAAGACTCGAATCCAGACCTTGGGAGGAGGCGCGCGATCGAGTTTGCTGCCTTAATGAATGCCGCGCATCCCGGTAAGCTAACATAATAATAACCATACTTTGGTCTCACTACGGCACACCAGGTAGTGACTTCCACACCCTTTGTGACTCCAGCCGCTCCTTTTGCTGAAGCTGGAATTAATCCTGTGTTCGTAGACGATGTGTACGACAACGCCGCAGCGTTCACCGATACCGAAGACCCCATGCGCTCCGCCAATGCGGGAGGGTGGAGGCGCGATTGGTTCCGCATTACATCGGCACACTTCGCGATGCTGTGCACAGGCACGGTGTATCTGATTGTCGAGGACCTGCCGCGGGAGGTTCGTTTCTTTCGTTTTGTTGCCCGTTCAATTTCACAGCTGAGAGGCACGTAGATTTGGTCTGGCAGTATTTGGGTAATGCACCGTCCCTCAATTGAATGGCGCTTCAGAGTTTCTTACGCATACCATCACTCAAGAGAAGTCACGAACTCAGACATTTAGGTGTAAATCCAACTATCTTGGAAGTTCGCCCTCGCGATGTGGGAACCGCGGTATCCGGAATCAATGATATTCGAACCATTCCGGTTCACCGCTACCGTGGGTGGACATTTCGTGCGTGTCGCCTTCGTCGTTGACAATTTACTAGGTGGTGACCCGCCCTCGGACCCTAACACCACCCCACCGCGGGACGAAGACGCGGTGATAATCGACGAATGTGCCCAGATTGACCCGGATGCGTCCGTCTCTAAGTGGGCTGCATTCCCCGACGTCGGTGGCGACGTAGCGCCGTTCAAGGAGGGCACTTGTTCTATGCACATCAAGCAGTACAGTGGCGGCGTCATCTTCGAAAACCCGAATCCGCTTCTCCCCTACTCCGTCGAGGTCACAATTTTCGACAATCTCAACACACACAAGATTGGTGTTCTGGCGAAAACGGATACCCCGGTGGACATGAAGTCCAAATTAGACAGTCTGTTCACAATCAAGGTGGTCACGGACGGCGATTACCTCCAGTTCACACTTGGCTCGCTACAGTTTAGGAGCAACGACGGGAGCTGCAACGTGGGTGGATGGGTGAGTGGTACCATTTCGCTACAGACGCATTTGCTCAACTAGTTTGCGGGATAGGACCGCGGTCAGAATCGGCAGATGGATTGCGGATTCCCGTGTGTGTGGGGTGGTGAGGACTCCACCGATCGCTCAATCTTTGGGCTTTTCTACGCCTGATCCGAATAAGTGGGCCTGGGTATAATATTCATAATCTTTGGTACTTACACATGTATGGGATGTAGCAGCCTTCGTTTAATTTTAACTGGATGAAGTCAATTCTGGGAGAGTCGCAAATCTGAACCACGAGCCTGATTCATTTAAGGAGCCCTTCACTTAGTCACCACCTCTACGTGACAACCGCCATCGTGAACTAACATTTCCCTTTTTTTTTTCTCTTCTTTCCAAAACGCTTCTTTTCGTTGGCTGGTGAGATCTGCTAAAGGAAATATTTTGCGGCGACAGCAGGATTGATTTACTTCAGTTCATAGCCAGAATCGCCCAAATGAGTGTATAGAAGACGCCCTCCGATGCATACCTTGGCCCCAATCGCATACTAGACAAGCCACTTACCCAAGAGGGAGATAGGGTTCCTGGAGCACACCGCAGTGTGTGATCCCGAACCGCAGACACCTCCTAATCCTATTTAATCCGCAGAGTATGTATGCTTGGGCGGTTGACCTGTAGGGAGGGAGTCCCGAAGTGACCTGATCTCTCCGTGTTGCAGGACCAAAGCACAATATCCCTCACACGACTTCGTGTTGCGTTGCTTCTCTAGCCAGTCGTGCCGGGGACACTCTGTGCTATAAAATTATCCAGAAAGCCCTCGTTGATTGAAGGAAATCGTCCCTGAACACCAACTTCACACTTGAGTTAGCATGAGCTGGAGACGACGGTTCGAATCCCGTCCGAGGACATTTCCGAGGATTATGTGCATCCCTTCTTTCTCAGACCGTGTCCGAATCATCCGTCCCGCACATCTCCACAGGACGAATCCGTTCACCCGGTGATCCCCGATCACATCAAATGTCCACGTGGCTTCCAAAACAAATGCAATCACATCTCGTTTCTCAACCGCCGACTCGACGGGCCGTACCGAGCTCCTCCTGTCGTTACTTACGCATGCGCCTGAGGAACCCAGTATCTCGCGTCCTGCGTCCATCCCGCAATCCGCTTGACGCGCGTCCGACTCCACCGCGGCCGTTCCCCAGGCAGCGTTTTCACGGCGCCTTGCATCTTCGAAACGCACGCTCGTGGCCCGGGTGACGCCATGCGGCCTGCACCCACCGCGGATGATGTTCCTGCTGGGATAGATGACGAGTCCAGTGTCTGCCTCTCTCGCCCTTCTCCCTCCGCGCCTCATCAAGCGTGAAGCGCTTCCCCGCCCGTCATCCCCCGGCCAGGACACTCCACGCGCACCCTGGCCGCGGATGCGGGGCGGGCTCCTCATCTGGCCGGCCGCGACCGTGGCGCGCGCGATACTACCATTACTGTCAAGGCCGCGTCTCCATGAGGGAGCACATCCTCCACAACACATGCATACCATCCTGGGTTCGATGCGCCTACCCCCACCCACTTCGCGCTCCGCGCATGGCTCGCGCACAACGCGCCAAGCTGAGAACGTAACACGCCATCGCCATCTTCGTCAGCTTCCATCGGCGACGCACTATGACAAGACCCCCGCGCGCCCGGTGGAGCTGAAGACGCCATGCCCCCGCCGGACTGTACCCCACGCCCAGCACGGATGGAGCGCTCCCGCCCCGCGCAGCGCGACAAAACGTGCCCTCGCGCCACGCAACGCAAAGTGCGCGCATTACCGCCCCCTCCGCGCGCCGCACGCATCCCAAAGGATCAGAACACCGCCTTTGCGCTGCGGTGGTCTCACTGTGCAGCGACCAGGCGCTTCGCGTGCACAAGCCTTATCCATCCACGTCCACCGCATCCCCCGTCCCACTTCAATCCTCCTTCCAACCGGTTCATCCTCCCCCTCCGCGCCTTCTGCCCCTCGCCGCGCGGGTGCGATACGTCGCGCGTGAGCGGAGGATATGGATGGGCAGCGGGCACGATGCCAGATGCGCCGGGTGGGCGGCGGCGGGGCGAAAGAGGCGCAGGCGGCGAGAGGGGTGATTGGCGAGCGTGGCCGCTTTCCTGCTGTAGCGCGGGTTTCGAGATGCGGCGGACCCATCCTCATCTCTCCTTTACTTCTGCACGCGCACCTCCTTCTGTACCTATCCTTCCTTCCCCATCCCCTACATCTCCATTCCTCGTTTCTACCCGCCTACCTTAATCGTACTTCTACCCGCCTACCTCAATCCTCTCATCCCTCCCTTATCATCCTCTCCCCCCGTTCACGCGCTCAAACTTTTACTGTACGAGTTCTCGTCACCTTCACCATGTTTTCCTCTGCGTGTACACTCCTTCCTTCCTATCTATATATCCTCCCTTACCATTTTCCTCGTTCTCGTGCATCCCTCTCTCCCCTTTTAGCCCATTCACCTCATTCTGTATGCCGCGTAGTGTGTAAGTATTTAGTCGTTGCATAATATAATCGTCGTTTCAGCCCCGAAGCTTGCAGTCTAAAATACTATTGCACACAATCTAGATTCCTGCCAAGTTCCATTTGTATCATGTCCTTTACGATTTTACGAGTTTGTTTGCGACATGATTTCGCGCTTTGGCCATTTGTGATGGCCATCACGCATGGGTCGATCATAACGCTCTAATTCAACTTCGGTTTGTACATCTTTTTGTGTATCGATTCTGCGAAGAGGGACCTGTTTTTTTTAAAAAAAACAAGTACTTTTCCGGTTAGTGGGAAGAGCTGTGCAAGTAGTATTACTTGCTCCCCTGACAGAGGATTCTGGAACGCCCGTGCTTTGAGTGTACTGCGCGAACACTGGAGTCGCTAGGCGGTACTTGGTATTTAGAACCCACAAAAAAAATCGGAACACCGGTGCGGCGATCCGAACATTTGAACACGACACCGCCGCGCCCGCCAGCGCCCTGCCCTGCCAAACACGTCGGACAGTGAGCGCACACCGTCGGGCATCATTCCAGACGCTCCCCTCAGGCCTACCCAGCAGAAGATATTGATACCCCTGTGCTTGAGATATTTTGGTAAGATATTTCTTTCTTGAGACTCAAAATATATCTCATTTCTGAATGCAAGATATCTTTTCTTTTGATTCACAATATAACCTCTTGCTCAAATTATTGATTCTTCCTCTCTAAATATACAATAACCTTCCGCAATCCGAGATATCAGCATACCTCTCAGAAAGTATTGGATCCAAGCCTCGAGATATATGCTTTTATTTATTTTACAAAGGGGACAGCATAGTATAAAGCCCTGGTTGATTAGTGGTAAATCGCCCACATACCATGAGGTACCAGACAAAAATTATTGATGCGAGAGACGGAGGTTCGAATCCTCCTCGGGGCATTCAGAATTGAAAGCCGCCTTTCTTTTTTGAACAGTCTTGGATTGAATTCAAATTTGAAGTTGCAGGTAGCAAAATAATCTATTTGAGGACATGGATAGGTTCTCATTGAAATAAATCTTGAGTTGTACACATGGGAATTTTATTCACTGCGGGTCTCGAAAAATGTGCGGGTATATTGAGGTTCATCGGAAGGGTAATGAGCCCTGGTTGATTAATGGAAATCACCCACACCCCTTGAGGAGTTAAGCGATGAAAACTAGAACGGGTTGATGGGGGGAGACGGAGGTTCGAATCCTCCCCAGGGCATTCGAGGAAATCTTCAGAGGATTTTTTTTTTTTTGGAATCGAATTCCAAGAACCTGCCGGTGCCGAATCTGTCTGTATATAATATGCACTTGGATAGTCGTGGAATTCATTGTTTGTGAAAAAAAACCCTTACTGAGCCGGCGGACTCGACTTTTATAACTAGCGAATTCAGGATTGTTAGGCTCCCTTGAAGCATGTGCAAGTATATAAAGCAACGGTTGACCACCCACGGCCACATCTCTTAAAATAGCCTTCTCCCTGCGTTGATTGATTTCGGAGACGGAGGTTTGAGGGCAGGCTTCTTGTAACTGTTCAATTCTTTTTTTTTATTTAAAAAAAAAACGATTGAACCAGCTGAATGTCTGTATTATATGCTTAGGGAGAGATTACAATCTTGTTGAATTTTGTTATTGCTTTCAACGAACCTTATTGAACAAACGGACATTTGAAGCTTCATTTCGGGCTTTGAAAATGTGCAGGTATATCCAAGTCCATTTGAAAAGGTACTAGCAGGAACCCGTGCTTCGCTATGGCAGTTGTATCACGGAGTTGCCAATAATATCAGCAGAGCCATTAATTGTTCGACTACGCACACAGGATTGAGTCAAATATTATTCTTGAGTTCACAGTGTCCCCGGCCACTCATTGCCAGCCTCTGGTTGGCTCCTCGTGGCTCACATGTCGAAGTAGGGCATAAAGCCCTCCTCGATTAATGGAAATCACCCACACCCCTTGAACATGCTTACTGGAGCCGATTGACATGGGAGTTGGAGATTGTAATCCTCCCCAGGGCATGGGCAGATATTAAAGAAAAAAAATTACACTGTCTGATTTGACTTCGAGATGCCAGTACTGCTCTGCTTTCATCTGGCTATGCAGACAGCTCCGTGCCGATTCACTGTTGCTTTAAACACTCTTAACATTGATCGAAGGAATTCATGCTGTGGAACAGCCTTCTAGCAGTAGGAAAATGTGCAGGTACATCCAGGTCGTTGGAACGGTATGAAGCCCTGGTTGATTAATGGTAAATCACCCACACCCCTTAAGCAAATGAGGCAGGACGGATTGATGTGGGAGACGGAGGTTTGAGTCCTTCTCAGGGCATATGTAGTCGTCCGACCTTTTTATATTTAACAAAATGATCGAGATTCAAAGAAACTGCATGTATTTCAACAGATCCTTGCGGTGTTCAGATATTTTTATACTCTGCAAAGAAGTCTTGCGCTCCCCGGATTTGCAAATGTCCTGCAGGCTCCAAGGAAGAATGTGCAGGTGTATCCTAGTTCCTTGGAGGGGCATAAAGCCCTGGTTGATTAATGGTAAATCTGTTGGACGGGGACATCTGGACACGGACTCTTACCACGTACCTTACTTATGTGACCACTTCGTCACGCGTCACGGACTTAGTACCGTGACCGCGTCGCGGAGCCTTTCCTCACTCGCTTCCACGAACGCTTGTGAGGTAGGCCCGTTTTTGCTCTCTCTTCATTAGATATGACACTTATATTCACCTTAGTTAGCTCTCATAGGATACAGATTCTCTTAGGTTATGGGCTTTTGGACTCGCTATTGACGACACCGAGCCGAATCTTGTATCTTTGCGCCCTCTGCAAGCTGGTTATACCCCGCCTTTTTTTGTTCTCTCTCTTGACGATACGCGCTGTGCACCACGAGCGACACCGTACTCTACGCCTTGTCATAATGTCTTCCCCCGATCCGTGGCGCACGCAATCGACGATGCCACCCTACCCCATGCAGCCGGCCCCGTCAGTTCGCCCCCACACGGTCGTCCCACCGCCTCGGCTCCTCCCGCAGGACCGTCAGTGGACACCTCAGCACCCTGGGCACCCGCCGCCACAGGCTTATCAGCCCGTACACCGCTACCCCCAGCCTCAGTATCACGCTCAGTTCGCGCACCCTCCCGACGCTCACGCGCAGCCTCCGGGTTTCGTGCCGCACTACCAGCCTCCTCCCGCACCGCCGCACGCTCTCCCGCCTCGTCCTTCGCACGTCCCGAACAACCAGGTTCCGCCTCCCCACTTCGCGACTCCTCACAGCAGTACCTCCCTGTTCTTCAACCCCCGTCCCGAACCCCTGCCTCGCCCCCAGTTCTTGCCCGCCGCTTTCAGCTCCGTGTCCGGCCACGTCGCGGGTCAAGGCCCCATCAACAAGGCGGTCAGCCTCAGCTCCGCAGGGTGGACCGAGCCGGAATACCTGTCTATGGAGCGTGGGAATTGGTTGGCTTGGGACAAGAAGGTTAACACGACGCTGGGCAAACACTCCGGAATGGCGCGCTGGCTTCGTCTCGACCACCCTTGCCCGTCTTTCGATATGTTCCCCCAGCAACACCAGATCTGGTGGGACAACGACGTCGCTGCGCGTGCGTTCCTGCAGGAGGTCACCGTCGACACTGAACACGAGTACTTCCGGGCCTGCGTCACGGCGGCGGAGGTGTACGCTGCTTTATACCGGTGTCATCGGAACAGGGGCGCAGTTACTCGCGTTCGACAGCTGCAGGAGCTCTTCAACGTAAAGTTCTCCGACGACCCCGCCACATTCTCGCGTACATCCAAGACACTGCAGGATCTCAGCGATGCCGTCTGGGCTGGCGGACCCCCCGACGCGGAGAGTATCCTGTCGGCTGCTTTCCTTCTTGCGCTGTCGGGGAAACCGTCGTTCGTGCGCGGTCTGCTCGCCATTCCGGACCTTAAGGTCGAGGACATCAAGAGTAGGCTCGAGATGCTGCGTGAGTTCCCGGACGATGTGCCCACAGCTCGGGCCTACGCCGCGTCGGGGCCGAAGCAGCCACCGTCCAAGGCGCTGGCGACCTGCACCACAGTCGGCTGTCCCAAGCCTTCCACCCACACGTGGCCGTACTGCACGCACACGGGGGGCGGTATGGCTGGGAAACCGGTATCGGCAGCGATAGCCGCAGCGCGCGAAGCGGGTGCACCCCAGGGGACACGTACCAATCGGAAGCCGGATGCGAAGGATGGGGGGCAGAGATCTACCGAGGCGTCGAAGCAAATCAAGCTCTCCTCCAACGGCAGGGCTTATGCAACCATCGACGGGAGCGACTACATGCTGATGCCCATGGCGCCGGCGACGACCACCGCCGCTCCTCCACCGTCCGCTCCGCCCACCGCCAACTACTTGAACCTACGCTCCGACACTGTTCCGCTCTACGATGACCCGGTGTTTGAGCTCGAGGCGCACTTCGCGATAGACGACGAACCCCAGGTCGGTCTGGATTGGGCCAACTGGACGTCCGCCGACAAAGCCGACGTCGACGACGGCGATCTTTATTCCGACATGGGGGCCAATATCCACATCTCCCCCTTCCGCACCGACTTCATCTCCCTTAATGAGATAGCTCCTCGCCCCATCAAAGGTTTCCAAGGCAGTTCGATCAACGCTACGGGTGTGGGCACCATCTTGTGGGGCGGCCTGACCATGCGACGTGCGCTGTTCGTCCCGCAAGCTGCCATCCGCCTCCTCTCCGTTGTCCGCCTGTGTAACGACTTTCCCTATCAATGTCACTTCGACGCCTCGTCCACTTGGATAACCGATCCGTCGGGCACGGTCGTCTCCTCCGGCACACTTCATCCATCTAAGGAGCTCTACCGTATGCATCGCAGCCCCGTCGCTCTATCTGCTTCCGCCGCTACCTCTCCTCCCCGCTCTCTCCGCAGTATGCACCTACTCCTTGGCCACGCCCACGAGCAATCCTGCATCGACCTCTTCCAGAACCAGAACGCCGACGGTATGGACCTTGACACGTCTTCCAAAGCGTCTGTGTGTGACGCTTGCATTCGCGCTAAACAGGTCAAGAAACACATACCTCGTGAGCGCGAAGGCGAGAAGTCGAAGAGGCGGTTGGAGAAGGTGTTCGTGGACTTGAGCGGGCCTTACAGTGTGAAATCGCGCAGCGGAAACCTCTACCATCTAGATATTGTTGATGACTGTTCGTCTCGCGGATGGGTCATCCCCATTCCAAATAAATCCTCTGCGTTTGACTCTTTGACGGCATGGCAGCTTCAGGTGGAGAGTAAAACGGGCGAGGGTGTGGGTGCGTACAACATGGATAACGGGGAGCTCAAGTCAGATGCGATGGACGCCTGGTGCGGTGCGCGGGGAATCGAGGTGCGGTACACCGCGAGGCACACCTCTGCGCAGAACGGCAAGGTGGAGCGTTTTCACCTGACCATACAGAACAAGTCGCGCGCCATGCGCATCGACTGTGGGGCGCCCCCATTCCTGTGGGACGAGTTCAAGGTCACGGCTGCATACTTACACGCGAGAACACCCTCTAGGTCTCAAGGGGGGCGCACGCCGTACGAGTGTTTTGAGCTCAAGAAGCCGAATCTTTCACACCTCCGCGAAATCGGTTGTCGCGCGTTCGTGCTCATCGAGGGGCACAATCCTAAGCTCTTCGCACGCTCACTTGAATGTGTTCTGATTGGTTACACTCCCCAGTCCAAGGCTTATAGGTGTTGGGAACGATCCACTGGGAAGGTATACGACTCCATCAATTGTCGTTTCATCGAGTCCGGCGACGTCGCTAAAGCTTCCTACAATCGCGATCTGCTCGACGCCTTACCGCCTCGCGTACCCGTTGCCGCCAACGCCCCTGTGCCGGACGACCAATCTTCCGCCGACCCTCGACTCTCCACGTCTGCCTTGCCGACGCCCACCACTGCCATGCCTGCCGCAACTCCCGACGCAGCTCACGCCCCGCCCGCTCCCGATCTTCCTCGTCGCTCCACCCGCGTCCGCAACCCAGTCGCCCACCTCGCCGCCCTCGATGATGAATTGGACATCATCCGTGAGTGGGAGGAGACTATCGCCGCGACGCCCGAGGACGACGACGGCGAGGAGACGGCGATGCTGGCTGAGCTCAACGCTTACGTCCTCGACAACCCGATAGACGTGGAGTATCCGGATGATCCACGCACCTACGCTGAGGCTATGGCTAGTCCAGACGCCGATGGGTGGGTTGC